CCCGAGGAGGCCTTGCAGAGGGTCGAGGACGGAGCAACACTGCCAGCGAAAGAAGGACGTACATGTACATGAATCCACGCTGGTTTCGAGAGCACGCATTGCGCAAATGTTCGTATTACGCGGCTGGTCTCGCGAATCGAGGGGCCGTGTTTATGTACATAGCTGGGCGCGTACGTCCTTTGTGGGCTCCCTAGGCAAGGCATCCCCCGGACCTCCCGCGGAGAGGAGAAGCCCACGCGCGGAGGTGTCGTCGCCGTCATCGGCTCCGCGGGGGGCCTCGCTGGGCCCTGGGGCAGGATCGTTTAACCGATCCCCATCTTCAGCGGCGTGGCCTGGGCCCCGCTGGCCGATCTACCCCCCTAGATGGGGATCATTACAGGTGGTTCCCTTCGGGCTTCGAGGGGTGTATCCCCAACTGGGGTAGTAATTTTGTGGGGGCCCTCGAAGGGGATGGGGATGGGGATGGGGATGGGGATGGGGATGGTAATTGGTTGAACGATACCGGTTGGGGCAGTCAGAGAACAGCTCAGGATGATGAGCCGGCCCTGGGGAAGCGGTTTGGAGTTTGGTGGGAGTTTTCGGACGGGGTTCGGGCGAGGATGAAACCATTCCAGAGCGTTCTGGAACGCTCTGAGAAGGCCGCGGCGCCCGAAAAATCCTCCAGAGCCGCCGGATCTCAGAGGAGATTCTCGATTTATCCTCACCCGATGTTCTCTTCGTCCTGGCTTCGTCTTACATTGGATTTCTGGGTACATTCACCACCTCGGAGTCGTGCTCCAGGATCTTGAGGACCTCGAGGAGCGGTACTTGGTCATGGTCATGGATCATGGATGTGTGCCCGCCTCCGAGACCGGGAAATTATCCAAATCCGCAGTTCCCCACGTATCCAGGCCCAGCCCTCCCAAATGGGGACAGAGCAGATGGGATCGGAGAATCTCGACGTATCCCTGGTCCTCGGCGATGCGGCGCAATCCAGAGTTTAATGTCCTCCGTCCCGACATCGCCAGCGCATCGTCGATGCATCGGCGACGCGGTGCGATCATCCGACTCCATGTGCCCTGGTCCTCTTTGGGGGGCCTGGAACGTTTCCCAGGGATCTAGAGCGGGGCTCCGCGGTGGATGATAGCTGGCGGTGCGCGCAAACGTCCAGAGACCTCGCCGTTGAGCTTCTGCTCGACGTCGACGGCGACGTCGACGTCTGGCCTCGACGAGATCTGCCCTTCCGCGCGGGGCGGCTACGAGTGGCCGTCGACGACGGCGACGGCCTCGCCGACGTCGTCGTCGAGCCTCGAGGAGCTCTGCCCTGCCACGCAGGGCGGCTACAGTTAAAACGTCGGGGCAAGGAACACTTTGGTCTTTGAAGGTGCTCGAGGTTCTTTGGGACCTTCCTTTGGCACTCCTCGCACTGCTAGGACTAACAGGTGGCTTCGTTGCTGGCGACGACAACGTCGGCGTCGATGACGACGACGACGACGACGGTGACGACGACTACAAAGGAGAAAACGAGGACCACCACGACGCCGGCGCTGACGCCGATGCTGACAAAGACGCCGACGCTGGCGCCAGCGACAGAGCCTGCACCGGCGCCGACGCCGACGGCCACGCTCACGTTCTCGCCCACGCCCACTCCCACGCAGAAGCAGATGCCGACGTCGACTGCGACCCCGACCGTGACGCCGTTGCTGACGCCGACGCCGACGCCGATGCCGACGCCGACGCCGACAACGACGACGACGACGGCGACGTTGATGACGACGACACCGACGACGACGCCGCCGACGACGACGACGATAACGACGACGACGACAGCGACGACGACGGCGACGACGACACGACGACGACGACGACTGCGACGACCACGACAACGATGACGACGAACAACGACGCCGAAGCCGACAATGACGACGACGACGACCGCGTAGACCACGAGGCGCACGCCGAACAAAAGGACGATGCCGACGATGACGACGACGCCGACGCAGACGCCCACGCCGCCGACGACGCCAGCGCCGACGCCGTTGCCCACCCCTACGACAACGCCGAGGCCGATGCCGAAGCCGTTGCCATCGCTGACGCCGACGAGGTCGACGAACGACGACGACGATGAAGACGTCGGCGAAGACGACAACGACTAGAAGTATGTCAAGGACGACGACGAGTCGACTACGGCGCAGACGACAATCATGACGACGACGACGGCGCACATGGCAGCGGCTTTGTACGCCGACACCCACGCCGATTCCGACGCCGACGCCGACGTTGACGCCGTCGCCGACGGCCACGCCAACGACGATGACGTCGCCGACGCCAACGCCGACGCCGACGCCGACGACGACGACGACGACGACGACGACGGCGACGCCGACGTTGCCGCCGACGCCGACGGCGACGACGACGCCGACGCCGATGCCGTCGACGACGACAAAGCCGATGCCGACGCCGACGACGACGAACAACGAGGGCGGCGACCACGACGAAGACGACGACGACGGCGCAGACGACTACGACGACGGCCGACGCCGACACCGACCGCGACGAAAACGCCGACGTCGACGACGCCACCGTCGACGACCCAAGACAACGACGCCGAGAACGTTTCCGACGCCGACTCCAACGACGACGACGACGATACGACGGGGCAGACGTCAACGCCGACGACGACGACGCCGACGCTGAAGACGACGCCGACCCCGATGGCGACGACGACGTCGACGACGAAGCCGACGCTGACGCCGACGCTGACGATGGCGACGACACCGACGCTGACGACGACGACGCCGCCGCCGACGGACGCCGATGTCGACGACGACGACGTCGAAGCCGACGCTGACGCCAACACTGACGTATGCGACGACACCGACGCTGACGACGACGACGACGACGAACGACGACGACGTCGTTGACGACGACGACGAGGACGCCTGCGACGATGACGATGACGACGACCACGGACGATGACGACGACGACCCCGATGACGATGACGCCGATGACGACGACGGCCACGACGGCGCAGACGACGATGACGCCGACGGCGACGACGACGCCCGCCGCTGCCGACGCCGACGCTGACACCGGCGGCGACGATGACGACCGACGACGACAATCGACAACGTCGACGCAAACGACGAAGACGCCGACGACGACAAAGACGTCGACGCCGCTGACGCTGCCGACGCGGACGCCGACAACGACGACGACGCCGACGACGCCCACGTCGCCGACGACGCCGTCGCCTTACCGACGCCGTCGACGATGTCCAGGCCTACGCCGACGCCGTTGCCAATGCCGACGCCGACGACGGTGACAACGTCGACGACGACGACGAACGACGACGACCAAGACGAGTTCGGCGCAGACGACGTGGAAGACGACAACGACACCAATGACGACGACGACGAACGGCGACGACGACGACGACGAGTCGACGACGGCGCAGACAACGCCGACGACGACGATGGCGACGCCAACGTGACGCCAACGTCGACGACGACGACGACGACGACCGACGCCAACGTCGACGAGTCGACCACGTCGCAGACGGCAACAATGACGTCGAGGATGACGACGACGGCGACGCCGACGCCGACGCCGACGTCGGCACCGACGACGGCGTCGACGACGACGACGATCGACGACGATGAAGACGACGACTTCGTCGGCGACGACGACTACGACGCAGACGACGACCACGCCGACGACGACGACGACGACGACGACGACGACGACGACGACGACGACGGTGCAGACATCGACGACGACGGCGCAGACGACGACGGCGTCGACAATGACCACGCCGACGACGACGACGACGACGCCACGTCGACGCCGACGCCGACGCGGACGACGACGACCGACCGTCCGACCGATCGACCGACCGACCGAGCGACCGACCGATCGACGACGACGACGATGACGATGACGACGAGGACGACGACGACGACGACGACGACGATGACCGCTGCCACCGTTGCCGACGACGCCGACGACGATGACCAGGACGACGACGACGACGAGGACGCCAGCGACGACGATGACGAGGACGACGAGGACGACGCCAACGACTACGACGACGACGACGAACACGACGACGACGACGACGGCACGAAGACGGCGCCGACGGGTACGAGGACGGCCAAGCCGACGACGATGACCCGCCGACGACGACGACGACGACGACCACGACCACGTTCACGACCACCATGACGACTTACGACGACTACGACGACGACGACGTCGAGGATGACGACGACGGCGACGCCGACGCCGACGCCGACGTCGGCACCGACGACGGCGTCGACGACGACGACGATCGACGACGATGAAGACGACGACTTCGTCGGCGACGACGACTACGACGCAGACGACGACCACGCCGACGACGACGACGACGACGACGACGACGACGACGACGACGGTGCAGACATCGACGACGACGGCGCAGACGACGACGGCGTCGACAATGACCATGCCGACGACGACGACGACGACGCCACGTCGACGCCGACGCCGACGCGGACGACGACGACCGACCGTCCGACCGATCGACCGACCGACCGAGCGACCGACCGATCGACGACGACGACGACGACGGCGGCGCAGACGACGACGAAGACGCTGCCGCTACCGCTGCCACCGTTGCCGACGACGCCGACGACGATGACCAGGACGACGACGACGACGAGGACGCCAGCGACGACGATGACGAGGACGACGAGGACGACGCCAACGACTACGACGACGACGACGAACACGACGACGACGACGAACACGACGACGACGACGACGACGGCACGAAGACGGCGCCGACGGGTACGAGGACGGCCAAGACGACGACGATGACCCGCCGACGACTACGACGACCACGACCACGTTCACGACCACCATGACGACTTACGACGACTACGACGACGACGACGTTGGCGACTACGACGACGTCGACGACGAGTCGGCCACGGCGTCAACCACTACTGCGGCATCGTCTTCTGCCCTGCCGCGTAAGGCGGCTACGAGTGGTACAGCCCGCAGGACGTGTACCGCCCGGTCACGTCGCGCCTGGCCGCGGTCACGGGCATGCCGGTGCTCTGCTTCGACTACCGCAAGGCCCGACGTCGCCCCGACCTCACTCGGGGGGGCGCCTGCGACCCGATTCGATGCGATTCGGCTCGTTGGTCGGGCGGTCGCTCGGGCGAGCGGTTGGACGGGGCTAGGAAGAGGACCAATCCGTTCCAGAGCTTCCCAGAACGCACGAGCAGCGTTCCAGACCGCTCTGAGAGGGCCGCGGCGACCGATATATCCTCCAGAGCCGCCTGATCTCAGAGATTCTCGATGTATACCCACTCGATTATATACTCGTCCTTGCATCGTCTTGAGCGGCCAGTTTTTGTGCTGTTTCCAGCCTCCGAGGACCCTCGCCGAGCCCGGGGAGCGTCCAAAAACAACTCAGGGCGACGAACCGGTCGCAGGGAAGTGGTCCAGACCTCCAGAGGCCGCAACAGACAAGGATAGAGCGGTCGGGTGTCTGGGGCGAGTCCGATTTGATTCGATCGGCTTCGATTCACCATCATCATCCTGGGCGGGCGTCGCGTAATGGGAGGGCGATACATGGGGGCAGCGAGGGCTGCAGAAAACGGGCCCTTCAGGGCTTTCAAGGGGCCCTTCAGGGCCCAAAAGGTTGCCTTTCGGACCCGAGAGGTGCACCTTCCTCCTCCCCCCCATGTATCGCCACCCCATTGAGCGACGCCCAACCGATTCTTGTTCAACGGGGCGATCTGATGTGTTTCCGATCCGATCTGGCGTCGCGATGCGAGCCAGCTCGGGCCTATCCCTTCCCCTCCAGTGCAGTCACATGGGAGGCGCGCTTGGGGATCGCTGCTCCTCCTTTCTCCTCCCTCCTCCTCCCGCTCGTGCCTCACTCCTGCTCTCCCTCCTCTCTGTCCCCCCCTCTCTTTCCTTCTCTCCCTTCCCCTCCTCTCTGCTCTCTCCTCCTCCTCGTCCTCCTCCGCGTCGTCAACAAATCATGGCGTAAGGTCGAGGCCTCTGGGGACACGCGGTGCGAGCAAATCGCGACGGCGGAGTTCGGGGACGAGGACGACGACGATGACGAGAATCCAGGCCTCCCAGATGGGGTCGCAGCAGATGGGGTCGGAGAACCGCGCCGCATCGCCGATGCATCGGCGATGCGGCTCAAGGCGGAGCCCGTGTTTCTCCTTGCTGACGTTGCCGATGCATCACCGACGTCGCCGATGCATCACTGATTGCATCGCCGATGCACCGCCCGTGCATCGCGGATGCGGTGCAGTCCCCCGACCCCATCTTCTCGGCAGCCTGTTCTTGAGTGTTTTTGATGGTTGGTATGTGCAGGCTTCTCGGGACCGAGTCAGGGGAGGAGGACGATAGCCACCGACACAAACGTCGATCCCCATGAACATGTGGGATAAGATGGGAAGTGCAGGGGAAGACGAGGAGGCCTCTAGAGAAGGAGGAGGACGACGAGGAGGACGGCGATGTTGCTCGCCGAGTGTTTTTGTTCCCCCACGTAGCCTGCTGGCATCGTTTGCGCTGCTGGAGGCCTCGCGATGCCTCTGCATACCTCCGTGGAGGTCAGAGGTCCCAGCAGGCACCCGGCGCCCTCCCCCCCAGGATCAACCAGGGGCGGAGCGTCCTGGCCTGCCTATAGGCCCTCGGTGGTGGTATGCGCGAAATGTCCTTAGAACATTTCTGGCTGAGACTGTTTTGTTTTATCACATCGGGTTTCTGTCCCAAGAACCTTGTTTTTGTACTTCGAACATCTGCTGGTTCTAAGACCATTTCGTGGCAGGGCTATGGAATTGATGGGACGGTCGGTCCCTGCTCAAGACGAGTCCGCGGCGGCCAGTCTGTTCTTTGGGCGGGAAGATACACACCGACACGAGTGAACTTCGAGCCCCACGAAAATCTTGGAATCACGGAGCAGTAGAGTGGGGACTCTGACGTCTGCGCCATTTCTCGGTGTGTCCCCTGGGCCCTCCGCACCGAGGGTCCCCGGGGCCCACGCTCCAGGGCGGGGACTGCTCTGTGTTTTTTTTTTTCTCGGGCCTTGCCCGGGGGATCAATCCCTGGGGGCCTCGGCAGGCGGTGGATGCGGGGACAGATCTCCTGTCTGGGGCAGGCCGCAGGCGCTCCGAGGCAGGAGGCGTCGGGCGACGGGGATCTCTCCATGGCCCTCGCCAGGGAGGATCGATCTCAGGGCGGCCGCGGCCCAGGGCCGAGGCCTGTCCCTGCGCAGCGCCCCGCAGTGGTGGGTGCGTGCGAGTGAGGAGGCCAGCGCGGGGTTGGTCGCGGGCGGGTCGCGGGCGGGCCGCGGGGTGGGCCTGGAGGCGGGCCGCGGTGTGGGCGCGGGGGGGGGGGACGATGACAACAGCAAACAACGAGCGAGCAGAGCTCTGGGCCACGGAAGCCAACTTCACCGGCGCACCCAGGGATGGTGTGCCTGTTCGGACCCCTGATCCTGATCCCCCCCTTGATAAATCCCCACCTCGCATTTCTAGGCATCCGAACAACTATGGAGACCTCTCGGGCTACCCGGCGGCGGCGTTGGCGACGACAGGCGTCGTCGCTTCGCATGTCTTTGGACGTTTCGGGATGGTCGTGCCGCCACGGCTGGGCGCGGCTCGCAAACACGGATCCCGGGAGGGGCCTGGCGACTAGCTGTGAGCTAATCTTGGTCGGGGCAAGACTCAGGTTGGCAGCGCCCACAAGGGGATGGTGCAGTGGGCAAGTCTGGGCCTCCTAGGTGGGGTCGGAGTAGATGGGGTCGGAGGATCGCGCCGCACCGCCGATGCATCGCCGATGCGGCTCGATGTGCAACCCGCTTTGCTTCACGTCAACGTCGCCGATGTATCGCCGACGTCGACGATGCATCGCCGGTACATCGCCGATGCATCGCCGATGTATTGGCGATGCGGCGCGATCCTCCGACCTCGTCCATTCCGACCCCATCTAGGTGGACGCCAGCAAAGGAAGCGGCCTTCTGAGAAGGCGGAAGGCGCATCTTAGAAGGCAGGGCCTTCTTAGAGGGCTCCAGGGGCTTCTGCGAGGGCTTCGTAGAAGTTGGGTTAAGTCGGGCGTGTCCCTCTACAGGAGGAATATTTCAAAATAGTCGGAACATAGTCTGGGGACGATGTGTGTAGTAGTTGTGCACATTCTTTGCGTGGTTTTTGTTTCTCGTCCAACATCGGTCTGTCGGGCGACGTGACCGACCCCAAAGTTGGGCTGGCTCCTAAGGAGGGCCCCTGCTTTCTGAGCAGGCCGTTCCTCTCGCGCCCCCCCGGCGCCGAGCGCACATCCTGTCGGGGGCGGGACTTGGGGCCCCGACCAGCCTCCGGAGTGGCTGGCAGTAGCCTGCCGCGGGCGTTCGGTAATGGATGTCGGAGGTTGACAGACCTTCTACCCTGACACGTCGATTAAGGAATTGGCCGTTTTTCTTTCGCGAGAGGGCGTCGCGGCCGTCATTTTTGCGGGTCCAGGTCCGACGGTTTCGGTTCCAGGCCGTTTTCATTAAGGGGGTCCTGAAGGGGCCCTAAACGAGCCCCCTAGGGCCCCGAAAGGGTACGAAAGGGGCACCTGTCTTACCCTCCCCCTCTATCGCCCCTCCATTAGTGAACGCCCGACTGCCAGACCTACAGACCTGGCGGTGTTGCCTACATAAGGTCATGCATGGGGGGTTTCTTCGAAGGGCCTAGGTGATCCGTCCTCCTTTTTTTTTCTCCGTCCTCCTCCTCCTCCTCCTCCTCCTCCTCCTCCTCCTCCTCCTCCTCCTCCTCCTCCCCCTCCTCCATCTCCTCCCCCGGAGGGTCAGGGGTCCCTCTGTTGCTGATCCACACCTCCTATGCTTGTCGGCGCAGGAGGAGGAGGTAGAGGAGGGGGAGGAGGATGAGGAGGAAGAGGAGGAGGAGGAGGACGAGGAGGAGGAGGAGGAGGAGAAGAGGAGGAGGAGGAGAGAGGAGGAGGAGGAGGAGGAGGAGGAGGAGGAGGAGGAGGAGGAGGAGGAGGAGGAGGAGGAGGAGGAGGAGGAGGAGGAGGAGGAGGATGAAGAGGAGGAGGAGGAGGAGGATCGCTAATCCATGTTCGCGCGCCCCCGATAAGAAGGCCCCTGCTTTCTGAGCAGGCCGGGCGCCTCTTGTCGGGGGCAGGGCTCAGGGCCCCGACCAGCCTCCGGAGTGGCTGGCAATAGCCTGCCTCGGGCGTGCGGTAATGGGGGGCGATACATTCGGGGGCCCCCAAACGGGGTGATGACCTCACCGTGTGGTGAGTCGGTGGGGATTCGGGGTCACCGCACGGTTTTGGGACTCGAGGCCTTCTCCGAGGACGAATCGGGCGACAGGGGTCTCCGGGGTCCTTAGACCGTGCGGTGACGGACCGTGCGGTGAGGTCTTGAGGGATTTCGAGGTTGTCGCACGGTCTGTCATCGCACCGTTTCGGGACTCCAAATAAATGGGGGGGCGTCGAGGGTTGCACGAAAGGGGTCCTGAAGGGGCTCTAACGAGCCCCCCTAGGGCCCCGAAGGGGTACGAAAGGTGCACGAAAGGGGCACCCTCCTTACCCCCCCCCATCTATCGCCCCCCCATTAGTGAACGCCCGACGCACTGCCAGACCTACAGACCTGGCAGTTTTGCCTGCATAAAGCCATGCATGGAGGGTTTAGGCGACCCGTCCTCCTCCTCCTCCTCCTCCTCCTCCTCCTCCTCCTTCTCCTTCTCCTGCTCCTCCTCCCTCCTTCTCCTCCTCCTCCACCTACTCCTTCTCCTTCCCCTCCTCCACCTCCTCCTCCTCCTCCTCCTCCTCCTCCTCGGGTCGCCTAATTACGGCCCCGGGGGAAACCGTACAGCCACGCATTATCGTTGATATCCAAAGATGCGGGTGCTACGACACCCCGAAGGTGGATTGGCGAATTCCAGTTGTTATTTGCGCATCCCGTTTCCTCAGCAGCCCATACAGAATCGACGTCCGGACGAACCATCGGGAGAATGGACGTCGATAGGGATACAGTGCAAGGAAGGCTTCAAGGCTGGACTTCTAGGCCTCAGGCATCCTCTTGGGGGTTTTCTTGCGGTTCTCTTCGGGCCCATCTCTTTTCGGTCCCGCTTTGGAGCTTTCGAAGCGCTCTTTGGGCTGTTTGGGGTCCCCGTTGCGGACCGCGGGGGCCCTCTTGGAGCCATCCTGGAGGCCGTCGATCCAAACAGGGCTGTTCCTAAATTTCAGCCCCCGCTTGAAGGTCAGGAGTTCTTGGGCTCTCTTGGGACGCTTTTGCGGCGCTCTTGCGGCGCTCTTGGGGGCCCTTCGGGGCTGTCTCGAAGAGCTGGTGGCTCTCTCTTGTGGCTCTTTTGGGCGAGTCTAGAGCCATCTTGGAGGCTTCATACGCCCAGCGGGAGCGAGAAGCGAAGCGAGAAGTGGAACAGCCATTGAAATGCATTGAGATTTTGATAAGGCCTCTCGGGGGCAGCCTTGGGACACTTTGTGGCTACTTGGAGCCATCTTGGGGCCCCTTGGCCGTGTGGGAGCTCTTCAGGAGCCGTCCTGCAGACCATCAGGCGTGTGAGAGTAGATTTTCCCTGAGGGTCCTGGAGATGTGCAGGGAAGCTCGTGCCCTCCCCAATTCCCACCTCAAGCAGCATCTTGGATACCAGAAAAGGATAAAAGGGATTCAGACGAAGACGAAGACGACGACATTGACGAGGTCGTCGTCGTCGCCGCCATCGCCATCGCCATCGCCACCGTTGTCGTCGTCGTCGTCGTCGTCGTCGTCGTCGTCGTCGTCGGCGACTCCGTCGATTTCGCCGTCGTCGACGACTGCATGACGTCGTCGTCGGCGACGTCGTCGGCAACGTCGGCGGCGTTGTCGTCGACGACGCCGTCGACGGCGCCCTTCCGCGCCGCCCGCCGAGAGGCGCCCGAGCACCGGCACCCTGCGCAGCTCGAGGACGCCCTCGCGGCGCTGCGCTTCGCCGCGGGCCACGGCCCCGCCGGGCCCGGCAAGGCGCCCCTGCCTGAGGGGCCTGTTTTCCACCACCACCAGCACCATAAGTTGGAGGGGGTCCTCCTCCACCTCCTCCTCCTCCTCCTCCTCCTTCTCTTCGTCCTCCTCCACCTCCTTCCACCCTCCAACTCATGGTGGTTGTGGTGGTGGTGGTGGAAATCAGGCCCATCACCCGCCGGGCCCCTGTCTGGGCACAGCAAAGTCGAGTAGGGGACCGACTACAGAATTGGTTCTTTCCAACATGAATTTTCCCTCGTCGAGCCATACGTGGAGTGATCGTAGGCCTACGAACTTCTGCGAGCATGATACGTCCCCGCCTGGGCTCAAGAGACGAGGGTCAGTGCAAACGGGGGTCAGTCAGAGCGCTGGATCTTGCAGGATCCTGCAGGGCCAGGGGCGCACAGACTCAGGTTTGAGTGCAGGATCCTGTAATAAGCCTGGCTCACCTTGGTTTGCATCGACCCGGGTAAGTGAGTCCCGGACCCCTGTCTGGACGCAGCAAAGACCACAGCCACTGCGAAGGCCTAACACGCCCGTCGTCGTAAGTAGGTATTTTTGGATTCCCAGATCCCAACCCATTTCGAGCGCCTTCCTACTTCTGGACTCGATTTGCTTTTGCTGCGTTGTGCTATTCTCTGGGAGGGCCTGAGCCCAATCTACTTGATCCGCCTCCCTACTTCATGTTTTACCTACTTCTTCCGACCGACATGTACATCTGGTGTCGCCGACCCTGAAGGCGGGACCTCCCCCAGGACCGCTCAATGGTCGGCGGATTTTCCTGAAGGGTCCCTCGGGGAAGAACCCGCTGACCTCGAAATGAGTTTTTTGGTTGTGGTTGTGGTCGATTTGGCCGCCCTGGGACGTCACATCGATCACCACCAGTACTGAGCTGGTTTCGGCGTTCTGACGATTGTCGACGTCCGGGCCGGGCGGGAGAGCTCAGCCACGCGCAGCGGGGGGGGGGGAAAGGGGGGAGGGCTTCTTAGAAACGCCCCTGCTCAGAAGGCCTTCCAAGAGGCAGCCTCCTTCGAAGAAGCCCTCCCCCCGCCCTCCACCCCCTGGCGCGCACCGCCAAGGAGCCTAGGCAAGCGGGGTCCGTAGCCATTTTGGCTCAAGCCGCTCTGATCCAGAGCGGGCACTTCTCTACTGAACGCGCGATACCACATCATCATCCAGCCAGATGGCACCACTGCTCGTGGGCTTGCGCGAGGTCATTCGACTTGTGTTGGCGGTGCTTGCCGCCCACAGGGTGTTCACATGTGCCGCAGGGTCTTGTCCCCAGGAGGCCCACTACTTCCAGAAGTTCTACACCGATGTGGCACTGTTTTCGTTTGGGGTCCGTGTTCTACTTCTTCGACTGCTGCAGTGCCAAAACCATGAGAGAGGTTGCCAGAGTGAAGAAAACGAGAAGTTCTACACCGATGTGGCACTGTTTTCGTTTGGGTCCATGCTCTACTTTTTCGACTGCTGCAGTGCCAAAGCCATGAGAGGGGTTGCCAGAGTTAAGAAAACGAGCTCCGCGAGACCGAGCTCGGGACACGAAGGCCGGCGTTTCAAATTTGACGTGCGTACCATCGACTGCGCGCTGCGGTGGGGCGTAGAACACAGGTTTCCAAAAGTGTTGGAAGTGATGCATGCTTGCGTCAGACGTGGACACGCGGAAGCGGCCGTGAAAGTGTTCGACCACATGCTGGAGAAGGGGCCCGTTCCCGGCGCGGACCTCATCAATAAGGCCGTGTCCGGCGCTTTCTTCCAGCTCGTCGTCGGGATTCTCAGTGACGAGAGTATTCGAATGGACGGGTTGCGGCTTCTTGAATTTGTTCGAGCTCATGGGATCGACCCGTCGCCGACCATCCAGAACCGTTTGTTGGCTGCGTGGGAGAACCAGTTTCCAGATAACGTGTTAGAGTATTTCCTAAATATAAGGCGGGAAGGAGTTAAGCTCAGCACGAGGGTATTTCGCAGCATTGTTGTGGCCCGCGAACGTGTTGATCCAGAGTTCGTCTCGATGATCTATTCTGATACAGTTGGAGTAGGAATTGAGCTGAAAATCTTCCTCCATCCCCTGAGTGGGTTTGCGCTCCTGTGCGTACACAGGGCACACTCTAATCGCACGTCTGGCCGGCGATGTCTTGGGGCGAAGGCCACCAGTATCCCGGCCAGAGAGCGCATAACCCACGAGGGCGGGAGGGCTGGGAATTGAAGCAACCCACAGGCAGCCGAAACTGCAGCACTCGGCGGTGCAGGATGGCGCCCAGCGGCACCAGGAATAAACAATTACCTGCAGGTGCAATTGGCCTTCAACCTTGAACAGCGTAGCACCGGCGACGAAGGGCCCACGAGCAAGCCTTCAACCTTGAACAGCATAGCACCAGCGACGAGAGACCCACGAGCACCCATCACCAGAGGCCTTCGACGCGCCTCACGTGCCCACGAGGAGCCGACACCCAATCACAGTTCCCGCCAGCTCCCGTGGAGCCGCCGAGCGTGTGAGGCAGGGATAGCTGCCCAGGAGCACGACGCAAGGCAGATACGCCTGCTCCCTCAGGAGAGCACCAGGCATGTGAGACAAGCCTGCCTGTCACTAGTTGGTCCAGTGCCACGAACGCAAACCCCAGAAGCCCCCAGAGGCCAAGAGGAGAGGAGTGGATGATGACACGCTCCGTCGCGATTTGGGGGCTAAGAAAATCTTCCTCCATCCCCTGAGTGGGTTTGCGCTCCTGTGCGTACACAGGGCACACTCTAATCGCACGTCTGGCCGGCGATGTCTTGGGGCGAAGGCCACCAGTATCCCTGTGCACCCCAGGACATCGCATCCTGGACAGACACAACCTGTGCAGACGTGGAAGCCCAATGCACACAGGTGTGTGTGTGTGTGTGCGTGTGCACGTGTATGCCCGCGAAGCGACAATCAATTTCGTACACGCAATTCCTCTGATTGTTTTCCACGCTCAGTCCTCGCCAGAAGACTCCGAGAATTCTATTAAGAATTCTGCTTCCTCCAGCGTGCCGCGGGCTTTGGCCGAAGTGTACGCGAAGGCCGTCACGCCCCTCCAGCCTCCCGAATAGAAAAGCGCTGCCGGCCCATTGGCCTGCACAACTTCTGTGGCCCATCCGCGGCGGAACGCATGAGTGCCCCAGGATCGCGCGTCGGCGAATCCTAGAGCTTGCGCAGCGAGCTTTAAGCAAGCCAGCGATTCGTTATACGAAATACTCGCGAAAGGGATCCCGCTGTCTGCCAACCTTCGCCTCAGCACGCATGCGCCGCAGAGCGTCTTGCCCTGCAACTTGCAAATGCACCGGCGCGAGACCTCCACCGGCTCAGCACAACATTTGCGATTGAAGAAAGTTATCCGGACAGCTTCTGTTCCCCCAGCAACGGTCTCAATGACGACTTGCGCCTGAGGACGGCCCAACTGCAAAGTTTCACCATATCTGAGACAGAAGTGCCGAGATACGACCCATGATTCACCAATGTCCTGCTGATCGTTGCTGACACACCATTGCGCCAACTTACGGGTCTGATCAGCTGTCGCACGGATTTTTACTCGCCGAATGGCTCTTCCAGATTTCTCTGCTCCACGAGCGACGCGGCTTGTGTCGAGCAGTGCCCCTAGAGGACTACGCATCCATCGCAAGATCGTTCTCAAATGCGAAAGGTATTTACCAAGCGAAGAAGCACTGCGAAAGAGAACGACAAACGCATCCACTTGCGCATCTGCTGGGGGCCAGGGCTCAAGCTTGTGTAGAATACAATTCTGTCCGTAAAGGCGAAGCGCTGAAGCGTAGCCCGAAGCACTCGCCTTCCAGCCACAGAACTCAATCCACATCGCTTCCTCCTCGAAACTTATTCCTCGCATGTACATTCACGCGTTCCCACACGTGCAATGGGCAACACACATACGTGCAGCTGGCTGGGGCCGCCCTGGGAAACCTCCAGGGCACCCAACCAGCGGAACGCGAGGGAGCGGGTGGGCGGGCAAAGCAACCCAACCCGAGAGCAGCCTGCACCGCGGCAGCGGCAGCCCCACGAGAAGCGATGCGCACGCGCACCCCCTGACCCCGCAGGCGCTGCTGCGTCCGCGTGCTGACGCAGGGTCCACAAGGCCCCTGGTGACCAACGACAGACGGACACGGACGGACGGACACGGACAGACGGGCCGAGAAGGAAACCGCACCCTGAACGGGCCAGGCGTGAGCAAGAACTTCCCCTCCAACTCCGCAGCCTCCATAGGAGGCTACCGGCCATGAGCCAAACGCACGAAGCTAGGAGGCCAGGAAGCCAAGAGGCTAAGAGTGGACAAGAATCCTGCTCCTCAAATTTCACTGCCCCCCAAACCACTCGTGCCTCGTGATTTATGGGCGACTATAATTATTCCTCGCATGTACATTCACGCGTTCCCACACGTGCAATGGGCAACACACATACGTGCAGCTGGCTGGGGCCGCCCTGGGAAGCCTCCAGGGCACCCACTGCACCCAGGTGGGTCCGGACAGCTGCGCGAAGCGGTTTGCTACTGGTACCTGTGCCCCCCCATGCAAGCAGGAGCATTTTTACTCGGCAGCGTCCGACGAATCTGAGTGTTCAACTAAGAACTCTGCTGCCGCCACGTTCCCCCGCGCCCTGGCCGAGGCGTACGCGAACGCGGTGAGCCCGCGCCACCCACCAGAATAAAACAAGGCAGTGGGGCCGTTCGCCTGCAAACAATCCGTCGCCCAACCTCGGCGAAAAGCATGCGTTCCCCAGAACAGGCGTTTTCTCTATGCCGCACGCCTGAGCCGCCACCTTCAGCGTGGCAAGGCTTTCCGAATATGTCAGGCCAGGAAACAGCGCTCCGGAATGACAGCTGTGGCGAGAAACAAGCACATACTCCACAAAACGCTTTACCCTGGAGGGCGCATATGCACCTCCGAACCACTTGCACGGGCTCGCTGTAGCATTTCCTGTTGGTGAAAGTGATGGACACCTCCTTGCGCGTACCAGCCGCCGCGGCGAGGCAGACTGGCGCTGTCACCGATCCAATCTGGAGAACCTCGCCATACCGTAAACAGAAATGACGCGCCACGACCCAGGACGCCCCAACGTCGGGCAGGCCGAACGCCGAGCACCACGTGGACAGAGCTTTGGTCTCAGCAGCGGTGGCACGAACGCGAGGCCGTCTGAACGACCGGCCTGCCTTTTCAGCGCCACGGACGACCCGGGCCGTATCTGCCAGGGCGCCCAAAGGGAAACGCATCCAATGCAGCACAGTGCGGAGGTGGGACAAGTATCGCGCCAAGGTCCCTGCACTCCGAAATAAACTGATATATGCGTCAACCACGGGCGTCGTCGGCGGCCAAGGTGCAGATGCCGAGTGCAAAGCCACCTGGCCGTACAACCGCACTGCAGAAGAGTAGCCTCGCGCACTGGCGCGCCACCCGCAAAATTCGAGCCACACAGCCTGCTCGCGCATGGCCTCCAAGTCGACAATATGGCGGCTGCGAGTCAGCTCTTGCCTTGGCGATGAAGAGGGCAGCGGAAACACATCCCCGTCAATTTTGGCCAAAACCAAAATGGCATCTGCGAGTGTTGCAGGACCTGGCATTTCCCCAGACGCGCGGGCCACAGCGCAAAGCCTGAGAGCCGCGCGCGCTGCCATTGCCCGAGAGTTTGTCCTTGACGCAAGGGCAAGCACAGGCAGTTCGGGGAGTATCTGGGCGTCGGGGAGCAACGGGGCCACAGCACCGCGCACTGCGCCCTCAGGTTCTGCAGAAGCGCATGCTGACGCGCACAGCTCCGTCAGCGCCTCCGCGAACGGCAAAGGTACGCCTCTGAGCGCAGACCAGATGTCCTGCGCCTCTGCCGCCGAAATGCCAAGGAAATCCGAATGATCTACTGCTCCCTCGACGGCCAGATCCGATTCAATTCTTCGCACGTCGACTGTGAGACCTGAAATGCTCGCCGCTCTTCGCAACAAAACGCCGAGCGTGGAACTGCCAGCCGGTTCCACGTGGTCACGCGCATCGCTCAGCCTGGGACGCACCAAACGACCATCATCTCGAGCCAGCTCGTCCTGCCGTGCCCTACTCTGGCCAATGAAATGTAACATTTGCTCCAATCGGCTACGGACGGAACCGCGCAGTGGACGACGAATGACGCCGAACAGGCGCAACGCGAGCACACATTGGCCACGGACCAGCTGACGGGCACACAGAACAATTTTCGGAGTCCGAGGCCCTGCGGAAACAACCTCGGCCACCAACTGCAGGAACCAGGGCCGAACCTCATGGGCCCGAATGGAAGCGCCCAGGGCGCCAAAAACAAACAGGAAACGGCGTTCCGACAAGAGACCTGTCAAAGTGGCACGCAGAGATGAGGGTTTGTGCCGCACGATGGTGACGACGCCGCACCTGACAGCGAAAGTTCTTTTTCCACGGTCGGGTACAGTCACTCCGCGTCCCAAGGCAGTGCTGCCGGCCATAACCAGGCAATCCGCTCAAAGCTCCGGGCGCCAAATGCGGCCACAGCTGCGTCCCAGGTGTCCCACCTGGTGGGCCCATCGGCGAGGTTCAGCTTACTTGGAACACGGAACGCGTGCAAAGAGATGCCGGCCCTGGCGACCTGGAACCAGAAACCAGTGACCAAAGCATTGAGATCCGTTTGTCTGCTCGCTCCGCGCGCAAGCACGTGCAACGCCGGATTGCAATCCACGAAAAGAAGTATTTCGCAGTTAGCCAGTCCGCGCTCGATTAAACATCGGACTGCGCACGCTGCGGCAAGCAGCTCCCACAGCACAATCTGGGTGCGCCGTGGATGCGCCCACTGCCAAGCCTCCTGCGGCACCGAGGCGGCGCTCCACAATCGGAAACTCGGGTGCACCAGTGCGAATGCTATTCCTCCATCTCCCGCAGCATTTGTATACACAATGCACCGCTCAACGGCGCGCGGCGCAAGCTGAAACCGCCTGGTCGGCGCCTCTGCTAAAAACGCGGACCACCAGCGGAGCGCCGTCCGGACGCGCGCCGTCAAACGAGCAGTGCGGCGAT